GGGCGGGGGGGGGGAGGGGGGGGGGGAGAGAATGAAGTTTAACAACCCAAAAGCCTTTCTAAAATAATTTACCCAAAGGATGCACATTCATACAACAAGGACTTCTGTTCAGCTATGTTCATAGCAGCATTATTTGTAATAGCCAGAACCTGGAAGCAACCTAGATGTCCCTCAACTGAAGAATAGATACGGAAAATGTGGTACATTTACAATGGAGTACTACTCAGTGGGGGGAAAAAAAAAAAAAAAAACAATGGAATCTTGAAATTTGCAGGCAAATGGATGGAACTAGGAGAAACCATCCTAAGTGAGGTAACCTAGTCACAGAAAGACAAACATGGTATGTACTCACTCATGGATTACCAGCCTACAATCCACAACCCCAGAGAAGTTAGGAAACAAGGAGGACCCTAAAAGAGACATACATGGTCCCCCCAGTGAAGCAGAAAGGGACAACAGCCCCTGAAGAAATTGGGAACATGGGGGGGAGCGGGAGGGAAATAGAAGAAAGAGGAGGGGAAAAGAGGAAGGGGGAGGAGAACATGAGGGACCAGGAGGTGGGAGAGGAATAGAGAAGAGCAAGAAAAGAGACACATCAATAGAGGGAGCCACTATAGGTTTAAAGAGAAATCTGGCACTAGGGAATTGTACAGAGATCCACATGGATGACCCCTAAGCAATAGTGGAGAAGCTACCTTAAATTTCCTTCCTGTATAATGAGAATGATGACTACCTTAAATGCCATCCTAGAGCCTTCATCCAGGAGCTAATAGAAGCAGAAGCAGAGATCCACAGCTAAGCACTGAGCCAAACTTCTGGAATTCAGTTTCAGGGAAGGAGTGACCAACAAAGGGGTCAAGACCATGCTAGGAAAACCCACAGAAACATCCGACCTGAGCAAGTGGGAATTCATAGATCCCAGTCTGACAGCTGGGGAACCAACATAGGACCAAACCAGGATCCCTGAATGAGGGTGTCAGCTAGGAGCACTGGGCAGTCTATGGGGCCTCTAGCAGTGGAACCAGCATGCATTCCTAGTGCACGAACAGAATTCGGGAGCCCATTTCCCATGGAGGGATACTCTCTGAGCCTAGATACACAGGGGAGGGCCTAGGCCCTGCCCTAAATGACTTGACAGATTTTTATGATCCCTCATGGAAGGCTTCACCCTCCCTGGGGAGTGGATGAGGAATGGGATTAGGGGTGGGGGTCGATGGGGGTCATGGGAGGATGAGAGGGAGAGGGAACTGGGATTGGTATGTAAAATAAGATTGTTTCTAATTTAAATAAATTTATAAAATAAATAAGGAAGAAAAAGAAATTCATGTTCACAACTCAGAAGAAGTAGGTATGTTTATACCCAGAAGATGTGAGTTTCTCAAGGTTTTAATGCAGAGTTTGGATACAAACCTTCATCTACCAGACTCACAAGTATGTGTACCTTACAGTATATTACACTGAGAAATATTTGAAAGGATGATATGTATTATTATAATTTTGCAAATTTTTAATGCAACCAATTAAAACAGAAGCACTTTCATTCAGCTTGCATTTAGTTTGGATGTGAGTACATTTTAAAAATAAAAGTTAATATTTAAAAATAGCTTTAGGAGAATGGGGCTGATAAAAACACAATGGGGATCTGATGCCAATGAACAACATAACTTTGTGAAGTCCTAACTTCTTTGAGAAAATGTCCTTACTTACTAAAATAAATGTGAAACTGGCAATGGAAACAATTATAAGGGCCTAGAGAGAGGACTTAGCAGTTACAACACTTCTTGCTCTTCCAGATGACCAGAGTTCAGTTCCCAGCACCCAGGCCAGGTGAATCATAACTGCCTGTAACTACAGGGGGTAATATAATACCCCCTCCCTCTCTTCCCCTCTCCCTTCCCTTCTCCCTCCATCCTTCTCTGTCTTTCTCTCCAGAATCAAAATGTTTTAAAAAGAAAAATTCATATGAACAACAGTCCCACCAAAAATAAGGATATATATAGGAATTAAAAGATGGTGCTAGGTAACAGTCATGGGTAAAGACGACCATCTAATGTAACATGAGGGAATAAAATTTCTATTCCAGTTTGGTGACCACTTTAATCTTTTTGGTTCTACCACTTTTACTAAGGAGAAGACTTACCTGGTTCCATATTTTTCAATTCAAGATATTTTTAGTGTGTACATACATGTGTGTGCATGCATGCACGCGCGTGCGTGTGCGCGCGCGCGCGCGCGCGCGCGCGCACACACGCACGCGCGTGCATGCATGCACACACATGTATGTACACACTAAAAATATCTTGAATTGAAAAATATGGAACCAGGTAAGTCTTCTCCTTAGTAAAAGTGGTAGAACCAAAAAGATTAAAGTGGTCACCAAACTGGAATAGAAATTTTATTCCCTCATGTTACATTAGATGGTCGTCTTTACCCATGACTGTTACCTAGCACCATCTTTTAATTCCTATATATATCCTTATTTTTGGTGGGACTGTTGTTCATATGAATTTTTCTTTTTAAAACATTTTGATTCTGGAGAGAAAGACAGAGAAGGATGGAGGGAGAAGGGAAGGGAGAGGGGAAGAGAGGGAGGGGGTATTATATTACCCCCTGTAGTTACAGGCAGTTATGATTCACCTGGCCTGGGTGCTGGGAACTGAACTCTGGTCATCTGGAAGAGCAAGAAGTGTTGTAACTGCTAAGTCCTCTCTCTAGGCCCTTATAATTGTTTCCATTGCCAGTTTCACATTTATTTTAGTAAGTAAGGACATTTTCTCAAAGAAGTTAGGACTTCACAAAGTTATGTTGTTCATTGGCATCAGATCCCCATTGTGTTTTTATCAGCCCCATTCTCCTAAAGCTATTTTTAAATATTAACTTTTATTTTTAAAATGTACTCACATCCAAACTAAATGCAAGCTGAATGAAAGTGCTTCTGTTTTAATTGGTTGCATTAAAAATTTGCAAAATTATAATAATACATATCATCCTTTCAAATATTTCTCAGTGTAATATACTGTAAGGTACACATACTTGTGAGTCTGGTAGATGAAGGTTTGTATCCAAACTCTGCATTAAAACCTTGAGAAACTCACATCTTCTGGGTATAAACATACCTACTTCTTCTGAGTTGTGAACATGAATTTCTTTTTCTTCCTTATTTATTTTATAAATTTATTTAAATTAGAAACAATCTTATTTTACATACCAATCCCAGTTCCCTCTCCCTCTCATCCTCCCATGACCCCCATCGACCCCCACCCCTAATCCCATTCCTCATCCACTCCCCAGGGAGGGTGAAGCCTTCCATGAGGGATCATAAAAATCTGTCAAGTCATTTAGGGCAGGGCCTAGGCCCTCCCCTGTGTATCTAGGCTCAGAGAGTATCCCTCCATGGGAAATGGGCTCCCGAATTCTGTTCGTGCACTAGGAATGCATGCTGGTTCCACTGCTAGAGGCCCCATAGACTGCCCAGTGCTCCTAGCTGACACCCTCATTCAGGGATCCTGGTTTGGTCCTATGTTGGTTCCCCAGCTGTCAGACTGGGATCTATGAATTCCCACTTGCTCAGGTCGGATGTTTCTGTGGGTTTTCCTAGCATGGTCTTGACCCCTTTGTTGGTCACTCCTTCCCTGAAACTGAATTCCAGAAGTTTGGCTCAGTGCTTAGCTGTGGATCTCTGCTTCTGCTTCTATTAGCTCCTGGATGAAGGCTCTAGGATGGCATTTAAGGTAGTCATCATTCTCATTATACAGGAAGGAAATTTAAGGTAGCTTCTCCACTATTGCTTAGGGGTCATCCATGTGGATCTCTGTACAATTCCCTAGTGCCAGATTTCTCTTTAAACCTATAGTGGCTCCCTCTATTGATGTGTCTCTTTTCTTGCTCTTCTCTATTCCTCTCCCACCTCCTGGTCCCTCATGTTCTCCTCCCCCTTCCTCTTTTCCCCTCCTCTTTCTTCTATTTCCCTCCCGCTCCCCCCCATGTTCCCAATTTCTTCAGGGGCTGTTGTCCCTTTCTGCTTCACTGGGGGGACCATGTATGTCTCTTTTAGGGTCCTCCTTGTTTCCTAACTTCTCTGGGGTTGTGGATTGTAGGCTGGTAATCCATGAGTGAGTACATACCATGTTTGTCTTTCTGTGACTAGGTTACCTCACTTAGGATGGTTTCTCCTAGTTCCATCCATTTGCCTGCAAATTTCAAGATTCCATTGTTTTTTTTTTTTTTTTCCCCCCACTGAGTAGTACTCCATTGTAAATGTACCACATTTTCCGTATCTATTCTTCAGTTGAGGGACATCTAGGTTGCTTCCAGGTTCTGGCTATTACAAATAATGCTGCTATGAACATAGCTGAACAGAAGTCCTTGTTGTATGAATGTGCATCCTTTGGGTAAATTATTTTAGAAAGGCTTTTGGGTTGTTAAACTTGGGCGGGGGGGGGGAGGGGGGGGGGGAGAGAATGAAGTTTAACAACCCAAAAGCCTTTCTAAAATAATTTACCCAAAGGATGCACATTCATACAACAAGGACTTCTGTTCAGCTATGTTCATAGCAGCATTATTTGTAATAGCCAGAACCTGGAAGCAACCTAGATGTCCCTCAACTGAAGAATAGATACGGAAAATGTGGTACATTTACAATGGAGTACTACTCAGTGGGGGGAAAAAAAAAAAAAAAACAATGGAATCTTGAAATTTGCAGGCAAATGGATGGAACTAGGAGAAACCATCCTAAGTGAGGTAACCTAGTCACAGAAAGACAAACATGGTATGTACTCACT